ACCTTTTGCGGGATACAGTGAAGTGCCCAAGATGATGGGTTTACTTAAAAGGAAGTATCACTGGTTAGATATGGCTAAGGATGTCCAAGACTATGTAAAGACATATTTAACATGTCAGTAGATCAAAGTTGTGACTAAGGCTAACGGGGGCTTATTACAAGTATCCCAATTCCAGATCGTCTGTGGAAATGTCTTACGATGGACTTCATCACAGGACTCCCCCCAAGTGAGGGTTTGATGCAATATTTGTGGTAGTGGACTAATTTTTTAAGATGGCACATTTCATACCCACCATAATGGAAGTGAATGCGAAAGGTGTGGGAAAGCTTTTCTTCGAATAAGTGGTTCGAGTGTGGAGAAGGCCAGAAGAGATTATCTCAGATCAAGATAAGATCTTCACTAGTAGGTTCTGGAAAACTCTCCTGGAACAGTATCGCACCAAGTTAAAATTCAGCACAATCTATCACCCACAGACAGGTATTGGGTATTAAGTCAAGTGTGATGGCACTAACATTTTTTGACAGATGAACAAACAGAAAGGGTGAATAAATAGTTAGAGGATTATTTGTGATGTTATGTCTTTGGAGACCAGACAAATTAGGTAAGTCATTTGGGACTTGCAGAAATGTGGTATAACAACTCACCACACTTGAGTATCAAAGTGAGTCTATATGAAGTCATCAATAGGTGAGCTATTGAAAGTCCTATAGAACTTGGTGTGGCCGAGTATTATGGAAAGTTACTCGCAGTGGAGGCATTCACGGTGAAAAGACTTAACATTTGGAATCTAGTGAGGGATTCCTTGGAACAGGCTCAATAAAGTCAAACCAAGTATAAGAACCAGAAGGATGTAGAGTTCCAACTTGGGGAGAAGGTGTGGCTGAACACCAAGATCCTAAGGCTACCAAATGGGATCAGTTGAAAGCTTACCCAAAGGTAAAAATGCATATATTCCTGGAAATGAACTAATCTTGAGTCCCTTAAACAGGTTCACAGGGCCTTACAAGATTGAGGCACAAATCAGTAAGGTGGTTTACTGCCTCCAACTTCCTTGAGAGATGGGGAGGATGCACCCTATGTTCTATGTGAACTTACTTAAGCCATACTTTGATGATCCACTTTGCAAAGATTAAGTAAAACATTCACCTAAAGTTATCTAAGGGGAAGAGGAATACGAAGTCAAAGCTATCTTTAATGCGTACAAGAGTAAGTGACAAGGACACGACGTGAGGGAATTCCATGTGAAGTGGAAAGGATTTCCACACTATGAAGTAACATGGGAACTAAAGGAAAATCTAGTGAACGTGCGGGATCTAGTGGAGGAATTTTTGCAAGGTAGAACTCTATGTACTTAATTAAAGAATCTATTTGAAAAATTGAGCAATATTATATATTAGGACCCGAAAGTGTGCCAAAGGTAAGCTAATTAGCATGGGTGACCAAATAGGAGCTAGTACAATAGGCAAGAACCTTGGTAAGGGAATTTAACTAAGGGTAAGGCAGTATTGGTCGGATAGACAAAGTAAGTTATAAGGGGTTCCAAAATATAATAGGGATAGTGAGGTCTAGGAACTAGTCTTGAAGGAACTCTTTAGTGGTGCTTCCAAATTGACTTAACAAACTGACTTGAGGTTGAGATTGGGGCTTAGGTGTAACACACCTATCTGTAACGCACCTTATCTCTCTCCTCTTAAGCCAACTAGAAAAGGGGCAATTTCTTGATAAAAGAGCCTTTAGTGGCTATTTTATCCCCATTTATCCCCCATTTATGTGTTACATTCACCCCCCCTTCAGAGATGTTAATGTCCTCATTGACTATTGACTAACAACCCCTACTGAGCCAAGGGGAACTAGCACCTCCATTTCCGCACTCAATCTACCAATCCTTTCATTGTGTAAACCAACTATTCCATGTGAGGCAACTAGTCATCCACCTATACCGCAGTCCCACGGTGGATACTTTCGTTCGTGGATACACCACACAAGAGGAAGGACATACGTATGAATGTCCAATACTTATGATTTCAAATTTAGAGGTAGGAATATACCTTACTTAAGGGTATATTATATTTTTAAGTAGCCACTAATCAATGGGAATCAAACCCGTGCCATTTCCTCCGATACCAATTATAACACACCTTATCTCTCTCCCCTTAAGCCAACTGAAAAAGGGGCAATTGTTTGATGAGAGAACCCTTAGTAGTTATTTTATCCCCATTTATCCCCTAAGGTTCCAAGGATCCACAGTGACAATATATCCAAATCTCATCCCATGATCACATGTGCTAAACTATCTCTCTCCTCTTAAGCCAACTGGAAAAAGGGCAATTGTTTGATGAGAGAGTCCTTAATGGTTATTTTATCCCCATTTATCCCCCAAGGTTTCAAGGATCTACAGTAACAGTATATCTAAATCTCATCCCATGATCACATGTGCTACACTTACCCCCTCTTCAGAGATGTCAATATCCTCATTGATTATTGATTAACAACCCCTATTGAGCCAAGGGGAACCAATACCTCCATTTTCGCACAGAATCTACTAATCCTTCCATTGTGTAAACTAGTTATTCCATGTGAGGCAACTAGTCATCCACCCATACTGCAGTCCCACGGTGGATACCTTGTGAGGCAACTAGTCATCCACCCATACTACAGTCCCTCGGTGGATACTTTTGTCCGTGGATACTCCACACAAAAGGAAGGATGTACGCATGGATGCCTAATACATATGATTTCAAATTTATGGATAGAAATATACCTTGCTCAAGGGTATATTATATTTTTAAGTAGCCACTAATCAATGAGAATCAAACCCGTGCTATTTGCTTCAATACCAATTGTAATACACCCTATCTTTCCCCCCTTAAACCAACTGGAAAAGGGGCAATTGCTTAATGAGAGAGCCTTTAGTGGCTATTTTATCCCCATTTATCCCCTAAGGTTCCAAAGATCCACAGTGACAATATATCTAAATTTCATCCCATGATCACATGTGCTACATTATGAGCTTTGGGTGGGAGTGAGCATGGACTCTGGTAATGTTTGTAGGGCCACCCAAGGAAATGTTCACAAGCAACTTCCACTCCCAGAAAGGAAACCGACTACAATTCTTTCAACTCATGTGAAGTGGTGCCCCATTTGAGTACCTTACAGCTCATTGGTCCATGCCCCTTCTTAAGGGCTTGGGCCTTCCCTTCGGTATGGTAGTGGGGGAGTAGAGGTACCTATACTAGGCTGTTAAGCCACGGTGTTTCCCCCCAGTGTCTTGAAGTAAGTGTTACACCTAAGGCTTGGGATTTAGAGGGTCCCATGATTAAGTCTTGTTATACCAAAAGATGTTAGGAACCTGGAGGTTTGGTGTGCTTGGCTACTTGTGTTTGTAAGGAGTGTAGCTGAACCTTAAGTCTAGTCTAACCCGGGGAAAGGTATTGGGAGAGATTTGGGAATCTATGGATGGATAGGTAACACTCTGTTGCTTGTGTAGTAAGGAATTGAAACTAAGTAGGACCAAATAAAAGCTGGTGCAATAGGCAGGAACCTTGGCAAGAGAATTTAATTAAGGGTAAAGCAGTGTTGATCGGATAAACAAAGTAAGCTAGCAAATTGAAAAAGAAAAATTTGTGGTTTACAATATAGTTTTCACTTTTTACCCTATAGTGATTTATTATGGCAGCTAGGGCTTTTGCCCTAAGTGGGGAATCCAAATTTTAGGGCCTTGGGCCACTAAATGAAAATATGGAGTTAAACTCCTAAGGAGCATAGAAAATCAAAACATAAAACAACTCTTGAGCTAGCCCAGGGAGTGAAAGGATAAGAGTATGAAACAACTCTCGAACATATAACCCAAAGAGTGAAAGGACAAGAGCATATAGCAATGTTAGAATAGTTTTAGAGCTTTTAACATCCCAATGCCAAAACTAACATGCAAAAAGAAACTAGAGTTTTGGCATTATTTTAGCATACCAGTGCCCTAATACAAATATATGGGTACTTCACCAAATAGTATAATTTTGAGTTTAGGCCTAACCTAAGTCAAATACAAAATAAAAACAAGCACACATACTATACTTTAGGTTTGTCAGTCATGTCCAACCTACCCATTATCACTATTATACATTTTGACATCCCCCCCCCCCCCCCTAACCCCCCATCTTAGGGAATGCATGCTTTAGGCTTTCACTTCACTCCCAAGAGTTAGTCTTTAAGATAATTACAAAAACTTATTAAATATGGAATAATGCTAGATTGTGAATCTAGATGTGAATCTAGATGTGAAAAAAATACCATCATGTTTAGAATAATCTTTACATTACATAGATATACTCAACTAGCAAATCTAAACACTTTCAATGAATAGCCAATGGAACCAAATAAAATCAATACATGAGGAATTAAAGGTGTTTTGGCAGATACAGTAAGTTATCATATAGCAAGTATTAAAGGACCAAACTCAATATTACAAGGGCTTCTAGCATTAATAAATATAAACTAATAACACCATATCAAGTATGTTAGACTAATAACAATTTAGGATTTATCTTCTTAGTGTCCTTCCAGTTTAAATGCATATGTGATAACTAATTTATCAATTTTTTGGGTGAAGACTGATAAAAGGTTTAACAATATTAATTTCTTACTATTATAGCAGTAAAAGAAAAACATTCAAAAGACTCATTGATAAATAAATTTTAATACCCACAATCATATCTGTCAACCTCACTGCCAATTCAAGAACCTATCTCCCAATAACCAAAGCTTCTTGCTAAAAGCAAGGAATCTAGTTACCTTGGTCAATAGAGTATGGCCAAGCTCAGTGGTGCCTACCTGAAAACCTTCAAGAACGAGGTCTTTTACAAAGTCACTCCTAACCCACACTACTGATCCAATCCAATCGGTAGATTTTATCGATTGAGAGCCAGCGATCGATTTGTTTCTTTTATTCGTGCAATAAATGGAGATTTTTCACACATCCTCCAAGCTTAGATATTATAGGGCATGGATTCTTCTCTCTTCTTGGGAGCGGTGAGAATGCCGGTATCTCGCGGCGCCCCGGCGATGGCGCGGCTCTCCTCCTGCTCGAGAGCCTCGGCGGCTCTCCAATCTCATCAGGTTCGTTCTCGGATCGATTGGATTGAGTAGAATTTTGGAGTTTCCAGGAGAGAACGAGAGATCTCCACAAGGCGAAGATGAGCTTGCTCAAGGCCGTGATTGACACGAGCAGGGGATCTCGAGCGAGCCAAGACCAGCGCGCGCTTCTCGAGGAGTCAATGGTATGGTAGCAGCGTTACATTTTTATTTCGCGCCTGGACAAAAAATTCTCTCTTGTTTGTGAAGAAAGGTGGAAGTCGAAAGTTTTGATGCGGGGACTGCCCTGGATCTTGACAAGCTGGATGGAACTTGGCTGCTGCAATACACTTCTGCTTCAGATGTTCTTTCCATCTTGCAAGCTGGAGAGTTTCCATTTTTCAAGGTGACTTTGGATGGATTTCTTTCCAGGTTTTTTTAATCAGGATGCTGTGCGATCTAGGCTGGACAGATTTATCAAAAGTTTGAGTGCAAGGGACGCTTCGATGGCGGACAAGTCGTGAACGTTGTAAGGTGGAGCATCCCTGGCTTATTGCAGGTACCAAAGGGTTTGTTTGTAAGCTTTTCCTTTCTAATGTTTCTTTCTTGCTGTGTTTTTTAATTCTTGTAGGATGGAGAAGGGGCGACGTTGTTTGTTACGGCTGGCTTCTCGGTTGTGAGTGCTCGGACGATACAATTGGAGTTTAAAGAGGTCCAGTAACTCTCGCCTCAGTGTCTCTTTAAATCTTTCACACGAACTACGAACTAACAGGCTAGACTCGGGGAGGTTCTGATAAGTGAAGAGCTCCAAGCCTTGCTCGCTCCAGCCGTTCTGCCACGAACGTTTCTAAATCTCCAGGTAATGCTCGCTCGCTCGCAATTGCAACCACATTAAAAAGCAAACAAACCACTCCCTTTACAGATCCTCCAAGCTATAAACTCTCTGGACGTTAGAGTTCCATTGCGCGGAAGAAGACCCTCCAACGAAAGAAGGTACTCTTAAACTCGCTAGAATCCCTTGTTCATCTTAGTTTTTCCAGGTCTCTTGGACTTCTCTACTATCTCACGTACCTGGACAACGACATGCTTCTCGGCCGGGCAATCGGCAGTGGAGGAGTGTTCGTGTTTGGAAAGACCCAGTCCTTCTGATAAAGGCGAAGAAGAATAGAAAAATACGATCTGATAGCTTGAAGGTACTTCACACCATTTTCTCTTGGAGTTCTTGCTTGTTTCTTCCTACAAACTGGGAAAAGCATATCATGTGATGCAGGAGACAAGGCTCGTGGTACACTCGCATTTCACCAGGAATAAAATTCATCATTCATGGCCCAGTGACTTTACTCGCCTCGGGCTTTTCCTCGCGTGCCTGTTACAAGAACGGTGCTCGCGAGAAATTGTCTTAAACAAGACAAGGAGATCTAGAAACTGGAACACTCCGGCTTTGTCCTTTTAAGCCAGAGTCTTCGGAGTTTTCTTTACGTGTAAATAAGAACACTGTTCCGTGGAGAAGAAAAGAGTTTCTAAGATCCATCGCCTAGTTCTTCCCTGCGCGACGATCCAAAGTGGTCCCGTAACGTTGGTCACATGATCCACCGTTCCCGCCCTCGGGTACCGCACGGTGGGGACCACGGTAGAAATTCTTTTTTAACGGAGCCCGTTAAAACTGTTAAGACCTAACAAAAAAATTTCCCCCCGCTATAAAACCTCGTGTTCTTGTTTGTTCCTCGCACAAATCCACTCGATCATGGCAGCGAGTTCTTCCTCTTCTCTCATTTTCATCTTTGGTTTTGTTCTTTTCACGGCAATGCGGGTGGAAATCCAGGCGCAGGCGCTCCAATCGCTGGATTACCGCGACGCGCTCGCCAAATCCATCCTCTTCTACGAGGGGATGCGATCGGGCAAGCTGCCGACGAGCCAGAGGATCAAATGGCGCGCAAACTCGGGGATGAGCGATGGAAGAACAGCGAATGTACCTTAGAATCTTTTGCTCGTTTGAAATGTTTTTCTTGTGGTTTACCTTTCTAGTCGATCGATTTTCGCTGCTGCTCAGGTGAATCTCACGGGAGGCTACTACGATTCAGGCGACAACGTCAAGTTTGGCTTCCCGATGGCGTTCACGATCACGCTGCTGTCGTGGAGCGTGGTGGAATTCGAGGCGGAGCTCGGGCGCGCGGCGGAGCTGGACAACGCCCGCGCCGCCATTCGCTGGGGGACCGACTACCTCCTCTCCGCCTTTGTCCCGCCATCCACCCTCTGGGTTCAAGTCGGGGATCCAAACGCCGACCACCAGTGCTGGGAGCGCCCCGAGGACATGGACACGCCGAGAACTTGCTACCAAGTCAATCCATCCAAGCCCGGCTCCGACGTCGCGGGAGAGACCGCCGCCGCCCTCGCCGCCGCCTCCATCGTCTTCGCCGCCACCGATTCTTCCTACTCCCAGAGGCTCCTCGCCACTTCCAAGCAAGTAAGTGATCGATCGAGCACCCAGACTTTCATCGTTTGGATAGGTGGACTTTGCTCTAACTTGGCTTCTCTTTGATCGTGATATAGATCTTTGCGTTTGCTGATAAGTACCGAGGAAGCTATAGCGATGTTCTTGGAGGAGCTGTGAGCCCATTCTACACGAGCTACTCAGGATATAGAGATGAGCTCTTGTGGGGCGCGGGGTGGATCTTCCGGGCCTCGAGCGACAAGCGCTACCTCGATTACATTTCCCAACACGGGGACGAGCTCGGCGGCCCCGGGAGTTCATACAACACTCTAAGCTGGGACAACAAGTACGCTGGTGTTGACGTTTTACTCTCCAAGGTAAAAAAAACCAGAATTTACCACTCTCTCTCGTTGACTGGTCCTAACTATAACCAACCGTCGGATCAATCATCTCTTTCCCGTGACCTTGGACAGTTTATTCTCGCCACCACTGGTAGCGACTTCAACGTAGTTCGCGCTTACAAGTCTCGTGCCGACGACTTCGTGTGCTCTGCGATGCCTGGGAGGGCCACCATCACGCCAGGTACTAAAAAGATTCCTCTCGATTCCCACATTGATTATTCCCCGGGAATCTTTTCTGATCAGGGGGACTTTTCTACCACGGTGGCTCAAACAACCTCCAGTATGTCACAAGCAATGCGTTCCTTCTCATAACGTACGGGCGGTACCTGGCTCAAGCGGGTCAGAGCGTTTCGTGTGGGGGAAACAACGGTTTTAAGCCCGGCCAGCTTATCTCGTTTGCAAAGCAACAGGTAAGTAGACAATGCATTTAGAGCATGTATAGCTTGCCACCTTTTCTTTTTGATGTTGGTGTTTTCTAGGTGGACTACATTCTGGGTAGCAATCCCAGGGGCATGTCTTACATGGTTGGGTTTGGTACAAAGTTTCCACAGCGAGTTCACCACCGGGCCTCTTCGCTGCCCTCGATCCGTACGCAGGAAGAACACATATCTTGTTCTGGGGGTTTTAATTGGCTTCACAGCTCCAATCCCAATCCAAACATTCTAATCGGTGCTGTGATCGGGGGTCCCGACGGATCCGACAATTTTTCGGACAATCGTGATGATTTCTCGCAAGCCGAGCCTTCGACATATGCAAACTCCGGTCTGGTTGGTGCACTGGCGTACTTTGCTTCCACCGCGGCTGGAAACAACTTGAGGGGATCATGATCCCATGATTCTTAAGATTCCGCCTGGGATCCGTATATGCGTTGGAAAAAATGATAATAATTCATACCGTCAATGTACTTTTTCTACTTGCTTCTGGATAAGCACTGCAAGACCTGATAGATATATAGAAATTGTCTATGGTGTTGGAGTGCACTTAGCTATAGCTGTAAAAGGGGGAATTTCAGTTCCAAGTTGGCACCACAGTATATTCAGAACATTGTAAGAGGTCCATCCCCCTGGCCACATGTTGAACTCAAAAAGTTGAAGAGACTGAAATGGAAATGCACGCAGTTTTGTTGTTTAACACATGTTTTAAGCTAATAAAGAAGATTTGAACCAACTTCGGGTCCGGCACGTCCGCATTAATGAAACCAATAAGGTAAGGTTTTGACTACTAATATATGATATATGTTGTCGAGGATGAGTTCTAGAGTATTCAGAAAAGTCAGACTGCATGATCCACACCATCACTAATTTTAATTGTTCAGAACAATTATATAATATTCATTCCTGGGAGTATAAAAGCTAGGCTATTGGATGCCACAATTCACACAACACAATGGCAAAGATTCAGCTCTCAACAATAGTTTTGCAACTTTTGTTCATCTCTTTAATGGTTTCAATGGCCCTTGCAATAGGTAAATAAAAATTTAAATCTCTAACCATAAGTTTTTCTAACAAAACTTTCAGGCAAGAATGACATTGTCACTAGAAAGCTCCTTGGGGTTACTGCACAGTGCTCTAAAGACAGTGATTGTCCAGACAGCCACCACTGCCTAGTTCTCATTGGAACGTGTTTGCCTATCTAATTAACCACTTTCATTAATAAGCATAAGAAGCTTTTAGTGAACGGCAGGATTCGAACCTGCGCGGGCAAAGCCCCCATGTTAACGTTAATGAAAGGTTATTAGTATGTTTATCGAAAGAACTTTCCTAGAGCGCGGGAAAACACCTCTAGGGCTTTTGTCTTTCAATCCATCTCTTCTCCCGACGCGCTGCTCCAATCTTTTCAGCGCGATGTGCATTCACTGCTGCCTGCTCAGCCGCGCGGGATTTAAGGCGGCGTGTTCGAACGATCGGCCGATCCGTGTCGTGTTCTTGCGGATTGGCAAGTGGATCTGGTCAAGATCATGTCCGAGGAGGGATATTTCGGCGAGAGCGAGAGCGAGGTCGAGGTGAGCGGATCCGATGTCCCAGCGCCGGCACGGAGCTTCGACGATCTGTCGCTCCATTCCATCCTCAACGACAACATCAGGAAGTGCCGGTTCGCGGTGCCGACGCTCGTCCAGAAGTACGCCATTCCGATCTGCCTCGCGGCTAGGGATCTCATGGCGTGCGCGCAGACGGGATCCGGGAAGACTGCCGCATTTTGCTTCCCGATCATCGAAGGGATTCTCAGGGAGCCTGTCCCAGGCAGGGAAGGGAGGAGGAGAGTTTCCATTCCTCTGGCTCTCATTCTTTCTCCTACTCGAGAGCTCGCGCAGCAGGCAAGCATAGAGCTTTCACTGCCCATCTCTTTTTCCTTCGTAAGTTTTCCTCGATCGTTTTGGTGGCAGATAGCCGATGAAGCTTTCAAGTTTTGCTACCAAACGGGAGTTCGTGTTGGAGTCGTCTATGGAGGAACACGACTCTGGGTATAAAAACTTTGTCTTCTTTGATCATCCTCTTTGTTTTTTTTTTTTTTCTCTCTCGCTCTTTTCCAGAGCGATAACTTGGGTGGAGTTGACATACTTGTGGCTACGCCCGGTCGTTTGAACGATCTTTTGGACCGAGAGATGGTGGAGCTCCGGAAACTCAAGTACTTGACTTTGGACGAGGCCGATCGGATGCTGGACATGGGATTCGAGCCGCAAATCCGACGCATTGTGGAGGAGTCGGGCATGCCAGGAGCGGAACTTCGGCAGACGCTCATGTTCAGTGCGACTTTTCCTAAAAAGATTCAGGTATGCTCTTTTCATCCTCCCGACTCGAGCATGAGAGTTTTTCTCAGAGGCTTGCCGGGGAGTTTTTGCGGAAAGACTATGTTTTCCTTGCCATCGGAGAAGTTGGCTCTAGTACCAGTCGCATCGAGCAGGAGATCATCTTTGTCCAGCGCAACCAGAAGCACGACTGCCTAGGAATGGTCATAGATCGGCAGCAGATGCATGGAAGCAAAAGCAATGTAAGAGTTCAAATAGATTTTGCTCGCTAATGACTTTCTCGCTGGACACGTTCGCAGAAAACGCTGGTGTTTGTTGGCACCAAGCTCAAGGCTGATGATCTCGAAATCTGGCTGCGTTCCAGAGGCTATGTTGCCATAGCGATTCACGGAGATAAAACGCAAGAGGTAGAATGCTTCCTTCGTTAACTCTCGCGATCTTAACTTTCATTTCATCTCTGCAGGAAAGAAGACGGGCATTGAAATCTTTCAAGAGTGGATCCACGCCCCTTCTCGTTGCAACCGAAGTAGCCTCCCGAGGCATCGACATCCCGGACGTGTCCCATGTCATCAACTTCGACCTCCCGACGAACATCGACGATTACGTGCACCGCATCGGGCGAACTGGACGAGCGGGCAAGAGAGGATTCGCCACAGCTCTCTTCTGCGACGGGGACGCTCCTCTGGCGCACAAGCTCGTCCATCTGCTCGAGAGTTGCAACCAGCAAGTCCCCGACTGGTTGATCCAGAAGGCGGCCGAGAGCTCTACTGTGACTGATCGTCACGAAAGGAGAATGGGTTCTTCCTGGGATGCTCCAAAACGTAGCTGGATGACCAACAAGCATGGTCGAAACTCTTTCTACTGGTAGAAATTATTTATAAGGTTGTATGCTATAAACTTTGGTTTCCTTTTAACTCTAAATCTCTTGACCGTTTAAAACACAATATTTATCTCCTAACCACGAAACTAAACATAACCACTCGAGTTTACAGTTAAATCAATGCAACTTAGTTAACTCTTGTTCCTCATCCAGAAGTATATCGTTTTTCAAAGAAAAGGTTTTTGATTCAAAATGTTAGCTATATATCCAACCAAGTATGCAAAAACCGGGATGTTACCAGAAAATCACATCACTTCTTCTTTCCTGCCTTTTGGGCCTCTCCGGAAGCCTTGGCCTGAGAGCAAGCAAACCGATCAAAGAGAGCTCACTCATGGATTAGAAAAAAAGACGGACCTTCTTCACTCCGCGGATCTTCTTCGCTCTGTTCTTCCGCTCCTTGAGCTGCTTCCTCGATTTTTGCTCTCTGGTGGCAAGTCCGTTCTGGAACAGAAAACGAAACCAAGGTGAGAAATCTGTTGTTTGCGAAGGCGCCGAGAATCAAAAGAACTAAGCTCACCCTGACGAGACGGTATTTTGGCTCGAATTTCTTTGCAGCCTCGACCGAGTCGTAGATGAGACCGAATCCAGAGGACTTGCCGCCGCCAAACTTGGTTCTCATCCCAAAGACAAACACCGCCTGGGGATCACGGACATCGTAAACCTTTGAGAGCTTCTCCCGGAGCTCAGCCTGTCCAATCCAGTTTCACACACATTCTCTTCGTCTCAGCGAGCTAAAAGACCCACCTTGGAAACATTGGGCCTCCCCGGATGAAGAACTTCCACGACCTACACAACCGAGGCGAAATCAAATCAGCACCGCGGCGCCTCGAAAAATCTGAGCGCCAGAAGCAAGACTTACAAACTGCCTGCGCAGGAGGAGGCGATTTGTCATGAACTTGCGCGTGCGCACAGTGTAGTTGCGGTCCGCCATCGCCCTCCCTCCTCGCTCGCCTAGGGTTCTTGGCGGCTAGAGTTGCCCTAATCTGGCTAAAGCCCTAATCCGCCCAAAAACCCTAAATCCAAGAGCCAATGGTTTTTCTCTTTTTCACAAACCGTGTGTGGTGTTTCTTCGCTGTCATGATTGGTGGGAATTGAACGCACACCAGTCGTTGTGAATGCGAAAGAAAAACAAACCAAAAGATTCGCGGAATCAATGCGTGGGCGTTGGGTCGTTCGTTCGTTCGTTCAAGGAGGGCATCCAACGGTCAGATGTCTGCGGCGCCGCACCGCGCCGCACAGCTGGCGCTCACATGGAAGCCAGCTGTGCGTCCGTCGCGGCTAGCAGAATGTACCACCTCACGGCTGGGTTTATTCCGTCAAGCCTAGCTAGCTCCCTAGTCCCGGCGCCTTGAAGAAGTTTGCTCCAAGCGCCCTCTCTCTTGGTGGCGATCGTCTAGGGTTCTTCGATTTGTTGGCTCGGCGGACGCACATTTGCGCTGCGTCGCCTTGTTTCCTCCCGGCTAGCTCGGATCTTGGTGCTGGATGCGGAAATCCGGCGTTCCGAAAGAATGTGAGTTGCTGGATCGAGCAGGATGTATGCTGTAGCTCCGCAATCCGGATACGTGCATCACAGCTTCGTCGATTCACAGTATTCCAATCACAATTGGCAAGCGGATGTGCCAGGCAATGGAAATTCCTATGGATTCGAGGCTCAGCATCCGGTCCAGGGAAATTTCTCGTGGAATTTCGGAGGAATGAACCAAGAAAATGGGTATAGCTATGATCGCCACTACTCGCAGCCTCAAGTTTCCGAGGATCCGGCTTACCATACGCATCAGATGGCCTGGAGTTCGAGTCGGTCCTCCGCTGGAAGGCCGCCACACGTGGTCGTGGCATTCGGTTTTGGCGGAACGATGGCCGTGATAAAGCCTTCTTCACAGGTACGTAAAGTTCGTCTACCATCACTTTGCCTTGAAGAAGAGTTAATTGTTATTCTTTCCAATTTGACAGCCTTTCCACGATCAGCAAAGGAGCTCGAGCAAGATCGAAGTCCACAAACTGCAGAGTCTTTCCAATTCAGCACCTGGTTTGGACTTCCATGCAGGCTTACAAAACGGATCGAAGAATGAGCTCTTCAAGTGGATTGACGAGCGCATCTCCAACTGTGCACGTGAAGAGGCCGATAGCAGGAATTTCGAAGCGCTTCCATTGTTGTGGGAAGTTCTTAAAATCGCCTTCGAGCACCATGGGAAGCTACGATCTGCTGTTGGTACTCCATCAGAGGTGAGAAAACTTTTTGTATCTTATTTCTTCTCACCAATGGTGTAAACTTGTCTAGGGGACTGGACCAGAGGCAGCCGTCGGCCAGGCAATTCTTACCGCAAGTTCGTCTGGTGCCACGGAACAACATTGCTTGCGGCAAATGCCGAACAGCGAAAGCTTGCAGGTCAGTTGTTTACCTGTTACGCTGGCAGCTAACATGTCAGCTTTCAGGCAACTTCGATAAAAGTCAAAGGACTTCTACTCTCAGGAAAAACTCAGCAGGCCCTACAGTGCGCACAAGACGGCCAATCGTGGGGACTAGCTCTTGTTCTTGCGTCTCAGCTAGGGGACAAGGTGAGAATAAACAGTTCGTGCTTCATTATCAAATCGGCTTTGAATTTTAATAATTGCAGTGTTATTCTGATACCATCTCAAAAATGGCACATCATCAACTGTCTCCAGGTCCATTACGAACTTTCAGCTTGCTTATGAGCGGCCAGTCGGCGGATGTATTTGCAGAGAACGGCAATCAAGTAATGCTGTGTATTTATGGAAAATCCTTGCTTACTTAATTGCGAGTTGAGCAGGGAAGCGGCATTCTTGACCATTGGCATGAGCATCTTGCTCTAATGGCCACAAACCGGACGTCTGGGAACGATGACGCGATCACTCGACTGGGCGACGCATTATGGGGTCAGAAAGAACAGGTTTGGTTTATGTTTGTATGAATATTTTGGTATTAGTATATTTCTCGCAGGTGGCGGCGGCGCATTTGTGCTATCTTTTGGTCGACCAAAATCCCGAAGCATTTTTCAGTGACGGAAGGATTCGTCTGATCGGCGCAGACCATTGGAAGTACCCGAGAACATTTTTCACACCGTTGGCGTTCAAGGTCTCTTCTTATTGTCGCATAGGAATACTAAACGAAATGCTTGATGCAGAGGACGGAGCTATACGAATACGTGAAAACGAAAGGAAATCCCCAATTTACACTAGTGTGCTTCCAACCGTACAAAATAGTGTATGCAACTATGCTCGCAGAGGCTGGACAAACGGAAGAAGCTTTGAGGTAGTGCATAACTTAGGAGCAAAAGCTCACGTAAGTCATGCTTATCTTCAGGTATACTAGAGCTTTTCTCAAAGCACTCAAGCAAATGAACAAGGATCCCGGCCTCGAGTCGATTGCGATGGACTTGGAAAGTCGCCTTGTACAGAACTTACGGGTGCTTATTTTGATGCCGGCTGAACTCTGTCTAAACCGTCGTGTGTAGGATGGAAAGAGAACATACACCCAATTTGCCGGGCGCATTCTCTCGAATACATTCGGCTATGTAATGAGCTCTATCCCCACTCCGAAAATAACAAGGTACAATTCGTCCACAGCCATACCATCAGTAGAAGATCAAACGAGCGCCAGCAAAGTTCCTGCTCGCAGCATCTCCGAGCCTGATCTAAGTCGACGAACCGATGAGGTTCATATTGAGCTCTATTTTCTGAACTGGTTTTCCTTAAGTCCTTCCTTGCAGAACGCATCAAAACCACCTCCCAATGGTTTCTTACGTCGGGCTGGATCGAGCATGTTCCAAAGGGCTACAAGCTTCGTGTCGAGAGGCAAACAGGTGGGCTAGTGCAAACTTTCCTTTATTCTAAAACTCTCCTATTACTTGTCAGGCAAATCTCGAAGAAGACAACATGCGATTCGACGGTGCGTGCATCGAGAGCACTGCTGCGATGAATACAAATCTAGGACCGGAAGAGCACAGGGAGCTCCAAGAAGCGCGGAAGAACAGTCCGGGCCTTTACGTCCAGTGCAGTGACTACTACTCAAGGTTAGTGTTCCTCGTTCTCTCGCTGGAAATCGAAACTAAAAACTCCTCTTGTTTCGGGCGAAGGTGTGTGAATTCGTTTGGTAGAGATGGATCACAGCTCGTGAAATCTCTCATCTCGCCGCAACTGCCTCCAATCATGAAAGTGTCCGGCCGCAAGCCGCAAGCCCAAAGAGTGGAAGTATGATTGGGAAAATGAAAATTAAAGGCAAATTGTTTTAAACTGCTAGTTTTGAATCAGCCCTAAATCTAGAGTTAAAGGTAGCCTAAAATCAAAGTATTCTTCATTGGAGTTTAGTGTGGTGGGTGGCGATTGGTAATCAACTTATATTCCTGGTTGATAATTTTTCTTCAAGAGTTCGGTGCTCATTCTATGTATCAACTCCATTCATTCTGGAGAAAAACAGTTAGCTGCCCAAGTAATAGTTTTACTCTTTGTCATCTATCTATACGATGACAAAGAGTTATAGGCCCTTACTTTTTTTGACGCTCGTCTTCACCACCACTGCATTGCTGCTGCTATCACGGAACTCGCCCAAGACGAAGACGCAATCATCGAGCCTGGGGTACTATTCTCGCGCCAACGTAAACGACGATTCGTGCAGGAGCAGGGCCGAATACACTTCATACACTCGACACAAGTTTCCCAGCTTCCGCGCTTCACAGCCCCTCCATAAGAAGATCCTCGAGTACGAGGCCCTGCACGCGAGGTGCGCGCCAGATCCCAAGGATCCGCACAAATCCTGCAGCAGCTGCATGTTACTCGTCTTCGTCGTCTTCGACCAGGGAATCAGCAACGAGATGATCACCCTCGTCTCGACTTTCACTTTTGGTATACAAGGCTGAACACCTTGGATTTCACTCGCTGTAAGAAAACCAAAGAGAATCAAGTGCTATATAGGAGTGCCACACAGTTACCACTCATACAGCAAGAAAATCTTAGAAAAGGCACGCCAAATCGAAGAAGTGCTCAAGCTTCTAAATGAGAAATGACGATTAGCAATTAGACCCTATGCTCACAGAAGAGCGTGTCGATGTTCTACTTCGTCGCGATGAGCAGCACCCTGTTGATGAGCACCATGTAGAGGAAAGCAGCGCTGCTGGCTGTATATCCTTCCATGGCCTCGGAAGGAGCCATGCATCGCCGTGCCGTTTCCTTCCAGCTCTTGGCTGCTGCCGCCGAGCTCGAAGGAAGCACCTCGCGGAGTCCGTGCCGAAGAACGACTCCATCCGGATTAGTCTTGTCCCACACCGCAGGTCCTGCGGAAATCAGACAATGGAGCTGTAGTAAAACATCAAAAGGAGCTGGGATATATATAGGCTATCGTGCTTTCAAACTTCTTTAAAGTCAAATCTTAATTTTGTTTGTTGATTTAGTTTTGCAAATCATATGTGTAGATTCAGAGAGGTGATTACATAACTCTCGGGCTCACTATTACAAGCAAATTCCAGTCAGCAGAACATGCACAAGCATCAAGTCCACAAAGTTGAAGTGCCCAACACGATCCATCCATGGTGACAAAGAAGGCTCAACCCCATAATGAGTGCCGTCACTGCAGTCATGGTTGTAATGCCAGGGAAACGTCATATCAAAGTTATCCACAAACATGAGATTCTCCAGAGATTTTAGCCGTCTCCCAAACTCGTCACTTAAGATGGAGTTGAAAGCTGCCATCTTTTGGGGATTTGAGGGACTGGCCCTCGCATGACCAGCCGTGGCAATTGTGTTACGAATGACAATGCGTGCTTTGCACCCATCACCTCCCAGGAGCGACCACCAGAAGTATGAAGCAATCTCCGCAGCTATGGCAAAGTCCTGAGTGCGTTTCCAGGCGTGTCCATCGTGAAGGCCTGAGTTTAGTATCACCGCATCTGGTTGACCTCCACGAAAGAATTCCTCCTTGACAAGCTCACGGTACTCTTTTACGGAAAGTGATTTAAGGCCCATATAGTTTTTCTGTGAGTCAGAATGCCCATTGAACACCTGAAACAGTCGCACTTGCTGCTTAGGATTGGAGGGATTGGTGACGTTGAGTGTAAATGTGCGCGTCATGAGCGGGATTTCAATGTTATGGCCGAGGACAAAGTTGACAAGGTTTCGAACTGTGTCCCTGTGGTTGGAGTCACCCCAGAAGAACAGCTTCTTCCCGTCCAGGCACTTCCATGCATCGCTGAAGCTCCATATCCGAAACTTACAATGTGCTGAGTAGACCCATCCGTTGCTTTCCAATCTCTCTAGTGCTCCACTACACTGGCTGTCATCACACTGCTCGTCGTCTGGCAGGCATCGGTAGCGCCCTTCTTCATCGAGCTTGCAAGACTCGTCGAACTTCATTCTTGTCCATTTGCCTAGCCATGTCTTTGCCGACTTTAGGCTTTTGCTGGTACAAAGAGGAAGAGGCGAAGGCCTTTGAATTTTGTTGTTCACGAAGTGGATCTGCAGTTGGAACACCTGTGTTTCCAGAGCCCATGGTTCTGGATTCTTATCCATTCCATGAAAATTGGAATACAAGAGAATGGCCTTGAGCGTGTAGTTTCCTTCAAATCCTTTATCCACTTTGAGTTCCACAAGGTAAGAGCCATTCCCATAATCTGTTATAGGTGGTCGTGACTTCCATTTGTGGCCTATGTAGTATGAAGAATCAAATAATGTTTTGAGAATAGATGGAACTTACCTGAGAGATCAGTCTCATAGAAGTCTCCTCCTCTGCACCTCCTCCTTCCATCTGCTGCATATGAAACAATCCAAAACTTGTGGACGACTCCAGTGGACATGGTAATTGGTCCTTCATTTCCCGGCATAGGAAGCCCAAAGAAGTAAGCAGCTCTTGTGGTAATGTTGTGGCATTCTTTCGTTCCATTTTCGGATACACGCTGGAGTATCACTTCTGAGGATGAATACAGGACCGATGAGCTTGTTGGAAGACCTTTAAGCTGGGATGGAAAAATTAGATCACGAGTAAGCATCAAAGGGAGCAAAAGACTTGTCAAGGCAGCTACAAAGAGAATTCCTTTAACAGACATTACAAACTGTAGGCATCCATAGCTACTTAACCACTATATAAAAATAAATGGCGAACCTCTTTTTTCCAAGATTCTGTGTGGGTGTATCATTTTTAGGTGGGTTTTAGGTGTATCAAAAATTTATTATAGAGAATGTATGGCCTTAATCTCGGTAATTGCCCGCCTCACTCGCACAAGAGGCTCCTCATACAAAACAGCCGGATCATCCGTCAGTTTTGCGCGACTCTCCTCGTCATCCAGCAAGCCACGAAATGTGTCAGCAACACTGAGCGACAGAGCGTCCAGGTTGTAGCCACCTTCCAGAAAGAAAACGCACCTCCCGTTGCAAACCTCCCGTGCAAGCTGCTTGATCGTCGATGCCAAATGGTAGTAAGTTGCAGTGGTGAACTGAAGGCTGGCCAAAGGGTCCAAAACATGAGCGTCATATCTACATGAAACACACATTTGCAAATGAGAAAAAGTCACAGCAAGAGGTTTTTTACCCGGCAGAAACGAGTAGAATATCGGGCTTAAACTTGAGGCAGCTTGGAACGATGACTTCTTCGAGAGCAGTAAGCATGGCTGCATGCCCAGAACCACCTGGTAATGGCAGATTTAACGTGGTTCCTTCGCCATCCCTTGTGCCAACCTGACGCATTTTCCCTGTTCCTGGATAGCTTCCATCCTGTGAACTCTGTCAGCATTCTTACTGATTTGTGATTCAACTTGCCTGGTGTGTAGAGCAGAAGAAGACGTCCGGGTCGTCGTAGAAAGCGTCCTGGGTGCCATTGCCATGGTGGACATCAAAGTCGATGATAAAAACTCTCTTGAGGCCGTGAGCGCGCTGTGCGTGCCTAGCTGCGATGGCCACATTGCCGAAAACGCAGAATCCCATGGGGCCTGCCGGGACTGCGTGGTGGCCTGGAGGTCGGATCAAAGCAAATCCAATTGGGGGCCTTGGACCAGCCACACTCATCTGGAAAAAGTAAAGAATTACAAACACAAAACAACGAAGAGAAAAAGCATCCGAAGCTCTATAAGAGCCTTTGGATTACCAGGGAGTCGACCAGAGCTAAGCTTCCACCCGCTGCGAGCATGGATTCTTCGTACGTCTTTCAGGCATTGTTAAAAGCTTGTAGAACTCCTTTTCAAGGATTGAAGCATACCGTGGAAGTAGCGTAAGTTGGACCACTTCCTTCAATGAAGATGAGACCATCCGCAGCGGCTTTCCCCATTGCCTGTATGCACACAACACCATATCAACATTTTTTTCATCGCCCCAGACTAGAAGTATAAGAAGCTTATCTTTTCCAGGCCATGGACATAGGAAATGGAGTGCACTGCGGCAACATCTTGCTTGGAGGCAGGCATAAAGTTTGTCAGCCGAGAAATCTCCTTTCCACGCTTCTATAGGGAAAAAATATTTCAAGCCAAAGAGTGAAAAATGTTGTACAAGTATATCTACTATGTTTTCTTACCTCAGGAGTAAGCTGAGCTCGATCCAACTCGCGTAGGATCGCAGGAACTCTGGCATTGCTCTCCGGATGACCATCCTGGAAATCAGATCCATATTCGTGAAAACAGGAAATCCGTCGAACTAGAACTTATTACTCACTTGATTGTGGCCACGAGCAGGAGCTGAGCAGTACAAGATACGTGAATCTTCACTCACAGTTGCTGCAAACGCCGCGGCCTTGTGACAAGAACGTAAACTCGATCCTGCGAGGACTCGGGACGCGCAAGAAACCATGCCCCACTCACTCGACATGCCCAACCTAAAATGTTTCAAGATATCTTTCACTTGGAACTATTGTATGTTAAAGAAAAAGTTTTATTTTCGAAGTAGGCCATTGATAGAGTTAACACTGAGGAAGCCAGCCTTAAGTTTGCCGCTGGTCATCCTCAAGTCGTCAATTATATAGCTCCAAGTCGAGCCCAACACTCCCACAAAGAAATCACACTCGGCCGCCATGACCAAGTTTATAAAGGCCGTGTCGAACGCTTGCTTGTCTCCAAGCAACGCCATATACTCCGCCATCCTGATCGTTCCAACTTGCCTTGGAACATCACTGTAATAAAACTTCCAGCCTTTGTACTCCTTGGATTCATCCACGACGTTCTAAACCATGCAAAAGCTTTGTGATTTCAAATCTTCGTCAATGGCTTTCTTACCTGCATTTCCGTGGAAAGCCACACATTTCTTACGTGTGGGAATCTCTTCCGGAGGACATTGGCGAGATTCATGTATTCGTCAAAAGAGACTACTCTCATCTCGCTGGCTTTGTCACCCTGTCTTACATGAATGCTTAACAGAGGCCGCGGCATCCAAGGTCCATAGTCACTCCACACATGTTCTTCCATGGGATTACTGGGATTACGCTTACTCTCATTTCTTGCATGCGGCCATTCAGTGCCAAGGGTTTTAAGCACCAGTTTTGCAACTTCTTCCCCAAAGGCCCTATGTCGTTCATTGTTTAAAAGATTGCACAGATACTCACTTGGAAATCGTGTGAGATAGCGAAGTGCCTGTATACGTTAATTCTAGATCATTAGCTTACCATTTGATGAATAAGAAACTTGCCTGAGCTCTCCACCACCTTCGATGATTTGCGTGGTAATTTGTCATGAGCTTGTCTTTTACGCCCACAGTTGGTCGCATTGCTTTCCAAGGCTCTCCCCAAAAACTAAAAACCAGATAATACTAAGTTACTGTATGAAAAAAACTCTTTTTTCTCACCTTGGAATATCACCATTCCATTGATCGCCACTAAACTCTTTGATAATTCCCTCGTCCCAGGCCTGTTTTTGGTCAATAAGCCGCAATGCCCTTTCCATGCACTCCTCAGAAGCCTCGGGAACAAAATAGCACGACCAGCGAGCGTGATTGGATCCTGGCATTATTTTAACACTTTGAAAACATCAGCCCGAGATATAAAAGAGTTTTGAAACCTGTGCATCCTTTGTGCCTGGCACCGTGGTAATCCTTGGTAATGAAAACCCGGCCTTGTATTAGCGCAGCTCCAAGCATTCCGGCCATTGACACCATGTCGGATCCAGCTCCTACCGAGTCGCGCGTCTCGTCGTGGTGCCAAAGTGCGAGAAGAAATCTCGCATCGGTACAGTTTTTCGGGTGTTGGTGCAACCAAATATCACGCTGGACGCGTCGCGTTAACGGGAGATTATCGTCATCACCGCTAATGACCTGTCCAAGAGCAGCAAAAGGCTACTGAGAAAACCAAGAAAACGAGAAAGACTACCCGATCTGAGAAGAACCTTACAAGAGAACTTACCCATGGAACGGTGCTGATGCTTGTCTCTGGATTCCTGTCAAGCTCCTCTTTTTGCTGGTAAAATCCCTTCCAGGATGGATCCTTCCTGCGATCAAACGCTGCAGTCTCCTCGCTGCATCGCTTGCAATCCTGGATGTGCGGTGCATTGATCGTCACCTCGGGAGGAGTTGCACCGCTCACTCTCGACTGCAGATCTCTGCTCCACAGATCGACCAGGAGTTTTACTCTGCTCGACGCAGCCGAGGTCGAGGAATTAATTGATCTTGGTGCGGGTGTTGGTGTTACACTAGCCTCTTGGCGATCCTGTTTCATCCAGTTCATTCTGAAACTAATCAAAACAACCAAGTTCAAGGACAAGATCCAAAACAGGAGCCATTTCAGGGAATCCTTCGGACACTGGAGATTTCTTTTCATCCTTTTGAGAAATTAGACGAGCACCTAACAGAGATCATGATCCTATAGTACAGTTGACTAATGCGACCATGATGGAGATTTTTTTGTGGAAGTAAATTCACGAACGTGCTGAACACTAGATTTCTCGTTCTTCTAGCAACAAAACAACAGTAAAGAAGAATAGCTGTCTGATTATACCAAGTGCGTGCGCCACATGTAACGTAAAATACTCATTTTTACAGTCTGTACAAGTGAAAACTCCAAAATCGCTTTCTTGTAAATCTAGGGCCGTCCGATCTCCTCCATCCAAGGGCACAGACTAGAAAGCTTAAGATGAGTTTGAATGTCAGTCAAGCTTACCTTACTCCGAAACTATGTTTGGGAGCAACGGACTGAGGAAGATTTTTGTGCTTGGGGTTATAGCTCTTGTGCTTTTATTCATAATAATCACTAACATTTTGTGGAGTAAGAGTAGTGGTGATTCTTTCTGGCATGTTGGCCCTTCAAGGTCTTTGGTGAACTGGGATGATCACAACAGCACAGGAGTTTTCATATGGCCAGCCCCCAAAAACGTCTCCAAGGGATCGATTTCCATGAGACTGTCCACAAAGTTTGCCATAACTCCTCCCAGAACTTTAAAAGTCTTGCAAGCAGGGATTGATCGCTACACGGTATTGATTCTCAAGCAGAGAAAGCTAAGGATTCCAGCGAAAAAGAATCCACCAGATTTTGTTTTGGACGAACTTCGTATCGAGCTCAAGTCATTCAACCAAAGCGTGAGAGAGACAAAAATTATAACTTATTTTTCTAGGTTCTCTTTCTGTATTTTGGCAGCTCTATCTTGGTGTAGATGAATCGTACCGCCTCCAAGTCCCCGACCCTTCAAATTCAAGGGTAGTATTGCTCCAGGTAAGCAAAATCTTTGAAGTTGAGCGCTGATTCACCTCCTTTCTATGCTCATCCAAGGCAAGAACTGTCTATGGGGCCCTACGAGGACTCGAGGTAGGCTTGAAACAAAAGTTTTGGATTTGCTAAACTATTTGCATTTTTTATAGACTTTTAGCCAGATTTGCACTTATGATGCTGTCGAAAGAGCTGTGCTTTTGCAAGGCTGCCCATGGAACATTTTTGACGAGCCTAGATTTTCATATCGAGGCCTTTTGATTGGTGAGAACTTTTTTTCTTTAGAACAGGCAACGGCTTCTAATTATTTTTCACTCGCTTACCAGATACTGCTCGACACTACTTGCCATTAAAGACGATAGAGAATGTGATCGACTCCATGGCCTACGCGAAGCTTGTGAGTTCCAATTTCTCTATCCCTTATATATGAGCCGAGCCCCTTTCTAACTTCTTTGCCTCCAGAATGTCTTGCACTGGCATGTTGTGGACGAGGAGTCCTTCCCTTTGGAGATTCCATCGTTTCCAGAGCTTTGGAAAGGCTCCTACTCTATCTCTCAGCGCTACAACCTCGATGATGCAAAAGCTATAGTCAAGTAAGCTATAGCTATACTTTCAAAGAGAGCACAAATATCCTATGCTTTTATTCTTATACAGGTATGCTCGATTGCGAGGTATACATGTCATGCCAGAGATTGATGTCCCAGGCCACGCTCGCTCATGGTAAACTTCTTCTGCCTTCATTGTAAATTAATAGATTTACTTGCGTTTAGGGGAGTTGGATATCCTGCGCTATGGCCCTCTCAAAACTGCAAAACACCTCTGGACATCAGTAAGAATTTCACTTTTGAGGTGATAGATGGCATTTTTTCCGGTATGAGCATGTTTTATATTGAATCAAAATCCTTGTGTCAACTCTATGCTGCCTAGATCTCTCAAAGGTGTTTCCATTTGAGCTGCTTCATATAGGAGGAGACGAAGTTAACACTAGTAAGCAGCAAATTTTCTTGGTGATTGTCAGCTTATTTTCTGCTAACAGGATGCTGGGAAATCACAGAACCTGTAAATGACTGGTACGTTAGATTCGGTTTTACTAAACATCCAACTGTCTGAAGCAGGCTGAGAAAGCACAATTTAACACCTTCACAGGGCTACGAGTTTTTTGTGCTTCAAGTGCAAAAACTGGCCTTGAAGCATGGGTACCTTCCTGTCAACTGGTAAGGAGATTAGCCATGTCGGATTCCATTAATTTTTGCTCTCTCTAGGCAAGAACCATTTGAAAAATTTGGACCAAGTTTGTCAAGGAAAACAATTGTTCACAACTGGTAACTTATCAAAAGGGGTTGTCTCTCTAACTCAGATTGTTCAAATGGCTATTCAGGTGGGGCACTCAAATTCCTCCCAACACTGTCAGCTCGGGCCTCAAGAGTATAGTTAGCGAGCAATTTTCATGGTACCTGGATCACATTGATATACCATGGGAGGAGTTTTATTCAAAGGAACCATATGATAACATTGCCAGCCACAAAGAACAGCAGTTGATTATTGGAGGTGAGGTTTGTATGTGGGGTGAGAAAGTTGATGCAGCCAATATCCAACAAAGAATATGGCCAAGGGCAGCAGCGGCGGCAGGCAAGCTAGCTTCACTCTATTTGCTTGATATATTTTTCTTGGCTAACAATTTTTATTTTGGTCAGAGAGGCTTTGGAGCCCATCTAATGTCACAGGTCTGGGTCCCAAAAATGCTGCTCCTAGGCTTGAATTTTTCAGAAGCCTGCTGAATGAAAGAGGAATAGCTGCTTCTCCAGTGAAATCAAAAGAAGAAGGCTCGTCCAAGCCTCCAGATTCTCCACACTCAACACTATGAATATCTGTTCAAACAATCAATTTTGATTAAATGACTGGATAATCATTCATGAGTGACCAACACCTATTGTGTTTACCTAACTCTACCATAATCTTTCCTGTTTACCGCTAGATTTTAGGTAGAGACCAGTTTTTATTTCTTGCGTGCACACGGAATCTCAAAGGAATCATTGTACGACAAGATCGTTTGCTTCGCAATAAGCCAACCTTGAAAGCGATACATGGAGGAAGACGGGGACATGGGAGTGTGGAGGATCTCCATGTATGCTCCAGGACAATCGTGACAGGCTCGTTCCAAAGTTCTCGATCTGGATCGACGGGAAGGTGCAACTAATGGTTGATCTCATCCAGATTTTGAAGAAATTGACAAGATGGCCATGAACTTGACGCGATCATTAGAGGAGAGCCACCGCAATAGTCGCGTCCCGTACAACCGCTCCTCCTGGTGAGTGACGTTCCTGAAAACTCTGTGATCATCAGGAAGCACACGCCGATCACGAATCTCTTTCCTTGCCTCTGGTTTAACGAGTTGGATTGCGGAGAGATCTATGCAGAGGTGAGAGACAAGATCACAGCACAGGTCCCTGGCGGATGTGAGAGGTGAAACTTTGTCAGCTCCGGAGTGAAATGTATCAAGCTTACCTATTATTATTCGTACACCACTCGGGCGCCCTGCACGATTTCGCCCATGACAACGCACTCCTTGTTTGTGGAAAGGATTTTCTTTACGGCGCAGGGATCCAGCACCAAAACCATGCCTACTCCCATGTTAAAGGTTCCGAAAGCTTTCTCCGGTTCCATGCTTCCCGCCTGCTCCAGAGGCGGCAAGCATCAAGGGAAAGCAAAGCAAAACCCATTGGAGTGTACCTCTTGCAGCCACTTGAATATGCGAGGAACTTCCCATGAACTCGTTCTGACAGTCGCCCCCAATCCCGATGGTAGAATTTTTTGTATGCTGCCAGTGAGTCCGCCTTCCGTAACGTCGGAAATTCCCTTCACTCCGCTGCAAGAGATCATTTCCAGCACCTGCAAAATGAGAAAAACGTTAGTTATTCTTTCCTAATGAGAACTGAAGAAGAGCCAGAGGCTTTCTCTGAACCTGCTTCACATAAATCTTGGTTGGCATGAGCAAGCTTTCTCCGATCGTGACTTCAGAGCCCGGGAGCTTGCCCTTCAAAGATGCATTCGCATTCTTCAAGATGCTAACCAACAAAAGAGAATTAGAGCTTATAAAGATATGAGAGCTTGTCCTTACCTGTCAACCATAGAAAATCCATGCGAGTGAATGCCACTGGAGAGCAGCCCGAGCAGGATATCTCCGGCTGCGATGGTGCTGCCGTCGATTAGAGCACTCTGCTTTACTCTACCGGATGCGTAGGCATTGAGCATGTACTCTCCCTCGGCGTGAAAGCCTTGCATTTCTGCCGTCTGTAAAAGAGATTTAGCTCGCCATTCGCAAGTCAGAAACAGCTGACGTACTTCCCCTCCTCGCAAGCCGCACTCCGCCTGAATACAGCCTTGAACAACTCCCTCGATAACCTGAACAGTCAGCAAAGCATTCGATTTTCCAGTAGTTTTAACAAGCAAAACTTGTTCAACCTGTTCTGCTACGTCCACGTCTAAATGGCTGGTGGAGAAATAGTCCACAAAACTCAAGGGAGTTGCCCCAGTAGTCACAATACTATTAACGTTTACCGCAACCTGCCAAGAAACTTGAATTAATCGTGTAAACGCGGAATCCAGAACAAACACTACCAGATCGATGCCAATAGTGTTGTGAACTTGCATCTCGAGAGCCAACTGCAATTTCTCATCGACTCGTTCGGCTCTGCTAACTGAGAATTCATCGCCTACCAGATGAAAACTAGAGGTCAGTGTAAATAACAGAAGATTATTTACCAATCGGGAAGAGACGCGGAGGCTGTCCTGCAAGTCTTTGCAGAAGCTCCTGTTGCGAATCAGCGTCGAGAGTTGCGACACCCTCATTAGTGACTCCAGGGCCTTTGCATGGATCAGACGAGGCAGTGCTCAAACGGTCATACACCACGCCTTTTCCTTGGATAACCGTTCCAATAAGATAAGACGGTGCGTATTCTTCAAGAATTTTATCCGCAACACGAGGCTCCACCACGAGAACCATTCCTATTCCCATGTTGAACGTGCGAAGCATTTCTTCTTCTTCCACATTGCCAGCCTTTAAAAACAAAACGTCATGCTGCAGAGATTAGCTTTATAAACTCATCGCTTACGTCCTTGAGCCAGTTAAATATTTGGGGAACATGCCAGGAACCCATTCTGATCTTTGCGCCAAGACCAGCAGGAAAAATCCTTGGTAAGTTGTCAGTCAGTCCCCCTCCGGTAATATGAGCCATGCCCTTCACTTCAACTTTAGAAATTATGTCCAGAACCTACACAGTGGCAAAAGAAGAAAACAAAAGATTAAAAACGAGCATTACCACATTCTTCTCGTACCTGCTTGACATAAATTTTTGTTGGAACAATCAAAGCCTCTCCAATGGTTACATCTGCTCCCGGAAGCTGGTCTTTCAGAGACAAATTTGACATGCTTAGTATTCTAAACGGAAAACCAAAAGAGAAAAAATTTGACAGTCTTATTGGTGAGCGGAAAATCGAGTGCAAACCTGCGAGCCAGAGAGTAGCCATTGGAGTGAAGCCCCGTCGACGGCAAACCGACGAGAACATCTCCTGACACAATTTTACTGCCGTCGATCAATGCGTTCTTGTTCAAGCTGCCGACGGCACAGCCACTCATCTCGTACAGCACTCCATCTGGATACAAGCCCGCATTTTCCACCACCTTCAATTTACCTTTTAGAAACAAGGAAAGAGAAAAGAATCGGTGATCAGTAACTATCTTCGTACCTTTCCTCCAGAAAGCTTGCAGCCACCTTGATTGCAGCCTTCGAGAATACCTCTGATCGCCTACGCAAAAATAAATCAATGAATGACATCGATCACTCGTACCTTTTCTGCGATCTCCGTGTCTAAATGACCAGTGGAGAACTGGTCCAGGAAATACATCGGCCTTGCTCCAGTGGTGACAATATCGTTCACATTCATGGCAACCTGGAAACGAAAGCTGTTCAAAGCTCCCAAAAACTCTAAAGAAATCTACGTACCAAGTCGATGCCAATCGTGTCGTGAGCATTCATCTCAAACGCAAGCTTGAGCTTTGTCCCAACTCCATCCGTCCCGACAACCTCATAAGAATCCTCACCTAGATTGTCCCAAGAAAATCATTCCATCACAAGGAAATGCCACAAAGAACATACCAACAGAGTATAATCCCCCAAATCCTCCAATCCCCGGCGCCTTGGCCGCGATCCTCCGGACGAGCTCCGATCCAGCGTCAATGTCGACCCCGGCGTCTTTGTACGTGAGCGCTGGGAGGCGCCATTCCTTGCGGCGGCTGAATCCAGCGGAAGGATCAACGCGGGCAAGCGGCGGGAGCGACGCGATCGACTGGAAGCTCTCCATGCTTCGCATAAACCCTAGCTAGTGTGCTAAAACCCCAAAAACTTCTTCAAAAAACTTCTTTATATCGAGTGTGGAATCGATATCGGAAGAGAGCTCTAGTTGAGCAGCTTGTCTATGATGATTCCACTGCCAGCGATCACACTGCCAATGTGATGAGCGCCGCGAACGAGATCCAGGACTTCATAGCCGCGAGCACTGTCGCAAACGAGCACCATTTCCAGTCCCACGTTGAAGGCTGCCAGCATTTCTTCGTCGCTCAAATCCCCGGCCTGCTTGGAGCAAACGATCAGATCAAACTATGACTCGAGAAACTCTACCTCTTTGATCCACACGAGCACTGGCGGGAGTGGCCAGGAGCCGAGCCTTCGTATGCTCGCGCCAAACTCGCGAGGTCCCAGAAGTTTGGCGATGGCATCCGTGATCCCCGCGGAGGAGAAGTGAGCGGCAGCCTTGATTTTCTTCTTGGCGATCAGATCAAGCACCTAGATAGATGATCCAAGTAAGATCTTTTAACGTTTCTTAGAGTGTTCTAACTTACAGTGGATACGTAAATGCGAGGTAGAGTGAGGATGGCCTTGCCGACGCTCTTGAGTCGTCCATGCTCCTTTGCGAGGCTGATCGATCGATGCAGGAGATTCTCAGTGTCAAGAACAAAAGTCCATTGATCGAGCGAGAGTTTTATCACCTGAGGACGCTTCCAAACTTCTGGGAGTGGAGCGCTTGGGTCTCGAGGCCGATGAGCCAGTCCCCGTCTTGGATCCCACGTCCATCCAGCAAGAGCTCCTTGCGAACTTCGCCCAAGGCCATGCCGGCAAGAACTCCGCGCGGAGTTTTCTTCTGTGAAACATTTAGTCGTGTTAGAGATGATCATTCTAGAGCAGCGAAGTTCTTGAAGATTACTCCACTTCCGCGGTTGATGGGGCAATTCCCGGCGATGCATGCGCTTGTGACCCCGGAGAGAAGCTCATCCATCTCGCGTTCGTTGTCGCCCAAAGCATCGGTGTGGGAAAAGAAGCTCGGCTTTGCTCCACTCGCGACGAGACCGTTGAGAGCGCTCGCAACCTGGATCCAAGAATCGTTTGGAAGATGAGAGAAAAGATCTTGATCGCCTCGATCCGGAGGGATCTAAAGAAAGCGCGAAAGAAAGAAACTTACAAGATCGTAGCCAATGACCTCCAAGTTTCTCATCTCCCGCGCGACGAGGAGCTTGGAGGTGGTGCCGACAGCGCGAGTGACGAGAAAGGAGGAGCCATCGCCGGCGTCCAAGAGTGAAACTCCGGGAATGCTCGGACAAGCTGCGACGGATTGTAGACGCCACGCATCGCCTCCTGTTGCCAAGATCCTGGGACGCGCAATGTAGGCGATGCAAGAGAGCTGTGCCGCCATCGCTGGATACTCTCTTCTCTCAATTTTTGATCTAGCTCTTGAAATGGAACCCTTGAACTATATACCGCGAAACAAGAAATCACAAGAAGCCGAATTTTCGTCTCATGAGAGAGATCCAGTGCTCTTCTCGATCTCACGGAAGCACTCGCAGCTCCAGCGAGGTTTATTTCTACCACTTGGTGACGAAAGAATTTATTCACGTTTGCATGTTGCCGATTTGGCAGCCTTTTGCGCAATGCGTGGCATCAGTGAAGAGCTCTTGGAGAGATCTATGAGCCCAGGCACTGCGTTCTCAAGAAAGATGGATTCTTCAACTGCGATTTTGATCAAAGGAAGATTGCTGTTGTTTGAATTAAGATTAAGACTAAACTGTTACAAACACAAGTTTTTTTAATAAACTGATTATTATGTATATAAATGTTTGCCAAAGTGTCAGCAATAGCCAGCCTTCAATTTAATAATCTCAATGTAACATTGTCAACGAAGCATATCACTAAAAAGGAATCTTCTTGATGGACTTTTCCAAACGAGCACTCAACCTTTAAGTTTGGCAGGAACACAAGTACCACAAAAACGCGACAATGTTGTGGAGCAGCAAAAGATTGAGGAAGATTTTTGTGATAGGAATTTTAGCTCTCATACTCTCATCCATTGTCACCAACACTTACTGGAGCAAAAGGAGCAAGTCTTCTTTCTGGCATGTTGCCTCTTCAATCACTTTGACAAATTGGGATGATCGCAGCAGCAACACTAGCGTTCTCATCTGGCCAGCTCCAAGAAATCTCTCCCAAGGCTCTATTTTGATGACACTGTCCAGGCAATTTTCTATAAGTTTTTCATCAGCGGCTGGGGAAAATCTGGAAGTCTTGCAAGCAGGAATTGATCGCTATACCTCACTGATTCTCAGGCAGCGAAAGCTGAAAACTCCAGCAAAGATTGATCCAGAGAAGTTTGTTCTTGACGAACTTTGCATCGATCTTAAGTCGTTCAACCAAAGCGTGAGTGACTTTACTATTTGCCTAGGGTGTTTGTAATGAGTTTTTCGGCAGCTCCATCTTGGCGTGGATGAATCCTACCGCCTCCAAATCCCTGATCCTCTCAATTCCAAGGCGGCATTGCTCCAGGTAAGGAAAGATCGTGAGGCTTATCGCCTGATTTTCTTGCGTTCCATTCATTCAAGGCAAGAACTGTTTATGGAGCTCTTCGAGGACTCGAGGTAAGACCAAAAAAAATGTGTGTGGGATGGCTCTATTCATTTGTCTCCTTTTTTTTCTAGACCTTTAGCCAGATTTGCAGCTACGATGTTCTCGCGAGAGAGATTCTTGTACAGGACTGTCCGTGGGACATTCTCGATGAGCCCAGATTTTTTTATAGAGGGCTTCTGATTGGTAAAGTTTCAGTTTTTCTGTGGTTGTCTTGTTGTTCTTGACGTAAATTCATTCTTTTTCTCTTACCAGATACTGCTCGACACTACTTACCACTAAAGACGATCGAGAATGTGATCGACTCCATGGCCTATGCGAAGCTCGTGAGTTTGAGTTCTATCGATCAAATCTGAGCTCTTCTTTTCTTCCTTTCCAGAATGTTTTGCACTGGCATGTTGTCGACGAGGAATCCTTCCCTTTGGAGATTCCATCTTTTCCAGAGCTTTGGAAAGGCTCCTTCTCAATCACTCAGCGCTACAACCTCGATGATGCAAAAGCAATAGTCGAGTAAGCCATACTTTCAAAAAGAAAACGATCAATCTGTGCATTTGACAGGTATGCTCGATTGAGAGGTGTGCATGTCATGCCAGAGATTGATGTTCCTGGACACGCTCGCTCATGGTAAGCTTGTTCTCTCTCCAGATTAAAGTTATCATTCGTTTTTATGATTTTTCTAGCGTAGGGGAGTTGGATATCCTGAGCTATGGCCTTCTGAAAGCTGCACAACACCATTGGATATCAGCAAAGAGTTCACCTTTGAGGTGATAGATGGCATATTTTCTGGTATGATCTTCTTTGATTATGGATTGCAATCCTTGTAAACTCGAGATTATATAGATCTTTCAAAGGTTTTTCCATTCGAGCTTTTGCATATCGGCGGAGACGAAGTCGACACAAGTAAGCAAAAACCATCCTCAAGTTTTTAGTTTTTTTCTTATATGGTGTTAAACAGGCTGCTGGCAAATTGCGAGGCCCACAAATAACTGGTATGCTACTTGAAGTTTATAGTTTATCAACTCTTTGAAAATCAGGCTTGTAGAGCATAATTTTACAGCAGCAGAAGCGTACGAGTTTTTTGTACTCCAAGTCCAAAAGCTGGCCATGAAACATGGTTATGTTCCCGTCAACTGGTAACATGCTTTTGATCTTCGATCGCATTATCTCGTGGTCCTTTTACAGGCAAGAACCATTTGAAAAATTTGGACAAAGTTTGTCAAGGAAGACAATTGTCCACAACTGGTAAATACTTCTTTGACACATTTCCTCTCACCTTTGAAGAACATCCTATAATCAGGTGGGGACCTCAAATCGCTCCCGATGTTGTCGAGTCGGGCCTCAAGTGCATAGTCAGCGAGCAATCTTCGTGGTATTTGGATCATATTGAGATACCATGGGAGAAGTTTTACTCCAAGGAGCCATTCGACAACGTCACCAGCGAAATTGAACAGGAGCTTATTATTGGAGGCGAAGTTTGTATGTGGGGTGAACAAGTTGATGCAAGCAATATCCAGCAAAAAATATGGCCAAGAGCAGCAGCAGCTGCAGGCAAGCTTTCTCTACATGTTTTCTATCTTGTTCTTGTCTGATTATTATGCTTTTTGTTTTTTTGTTTTTTTGGTTTAGAGAGGCTTTGGAGCCCATCCAAAGTCACAAGTTTGGGTCCTGAAAATGCTGCTCCCAGGCTTGAATTCTTCAGAAGCTTGCTGAATGAAAGGGGCATAGCTGCATCTCCTCTGCACCCACAACAAAGGCGAGACTCGCTGCAGCCTCCAGATCTTCCAGATTCAAGTTCAACAATGGTGAATCTATCAATGGACACTGATCAGAGGTAAGAACTTAGAAAAACTTCGAATTTTTATGCTGAGAAGCTCTCTCTCTCTGTGCATCACACAGGATTGGAAGCGAAGAAATCGACCAGAACTTTTCCACTGATCATGCCTTGGCTCCCAGCGCTATTGAAGAAGCTCTTGTGAGCGGGGCTGATTTTTCTCCTGGTTTTTCTTCTTTCAAGTGACAAATAAAGTTATCACAGTAAGTAATTCACGGGGTTGACTGTGAGGAAGCCAGCCTTGACTTTTCCGCTGGTCATCCTCAAGCAGTCAATGGCATAGCTCCAAGTTGACCCCAAAACCCCCACAAAGAAATCACAGTCAGCAGCCATCAAGAGATTGACATAACTATTCTCAAAATTTTTCCTCTTTCCCAGTGAAGCCATGTACTCGGCCATGCTTGTTGCTCCAACCTGTCTCTTTATATCGGTGAAGAAAAAATTCCATCCTTCATACTCCTTGCTTTCATCAATTACATTCTAGCAAAATATAAATGAGAAAGAAAAACAATATAAATAAGTATCTGAGAAAGAAATAAACCATTTGTTACCTGCATTTCTGTTGAAAGCCACACACAATTTATGTGTGGGAATTTCTTGCGCAGCCTCATGGCGAGCTTCATGTAGTCTTTAAAGGGATGGACTTCCATATCGATGTTTTTATCTCCTTGTCTCACGTGAATGCTCACTAAAGGCCGTGGAATCCATGGTCCATAGCTGCTCCAAACATTTGCTTCCATGGGACTCTCACTATGAGAGCTATGATTGTTAGAGTTCCAATTGCCTTGTGGGTAATTCTTTAGTATCAATCTTGCTGCTGCCTCTCCAAATGCCTCATTCCGGGCTACGTTTAGTAGATTGCAAAGATACTCGCTCGGGAAACGCATGAGATATCGGAACACCTGAAACACACTTATTAGTATAAACTAATGAGGAGTTAATTAAATCTAATAAACCTGAGCTCTCCACCACCTTCTTTCGTTGTTACCATTGACATCTGCCATAAGAACCCCATCGAGTTCCACTGATGGTTCGATTCTTTTCCAAGGCTCACCCCACAACCTTCACAGCAGGAAAGAGGAAGACGCTGTGATTTCGATTATATCAACTCTGCTACGAACCTTGGGACAGTCCACCCGTGATTATAATCAAAATTTACAAGAAGGCCTTGATCCCAAGGTTCCTTTTGCGAGGAAAGCTCCAAAGCCCGGGCAATACATTCACTCGAAGCCTCAGGAAGGAAATAGCAAGACCATCTCGCACGATCCAATCCTATATGATAAGAATTTAAAAAGATTCTAAACCTCAAGAGAGAAAAAGTATTATTACCCAAACATCCCGAGTGATTTGCCCCGTGATATGCCTTGGTCACCAACACCCTCTTTTGCATGACAGCCATCGAGAACATAGCCGAGAGATATACAAGCTCCGAGCCAACGCCGATGGAGGTGGGTGTTTGCTGGCTAAACCAGTCTGCCATGAGAAACCTTGCATTGCTGCAATCTTTGGGGTGTTGATTCAGCCACAAATCATGCTGGACAAGCCTTGTCAAGGGGAGATTCTCGTCATCACCACCAAGAATCTAGGAACAAGAAAGTTTTAAAGTTAGAACAATCAATAGATTTATATACCCAAGGAATGTTGAGACTGGGAACTGTTTTGTTGATGTAGAACATTTGATCCATTATAATCTCCACCCCTCCACTATCAACACTTGATCCCTGCGACAAGCTCCAAGGGGGCCATTTGCCATTCTCTCCACGACCATCCAACTTAGCATGCAATTCACCAGACCTTTTGCAATCTTGGATGTGAGGAGCATAAGAGAGTGAATCGAGATCTAGATTGACGCTCTTGTTCATCACTCCATACAGGGTCTCGCTCCAAAGATCCACCACATCTCTCACTCTTTCTTGATGCGTTTTGCTAAAGTTGACCGCGAAATTGAGCACGCATCTATCACTTGGGTAGCCGATCCAAAGAAAAATCAGTAGAAACAGTGCGGTAGTCCACAAGAACTTGCACCACAAAGATTTCTCCATGGGATGAACTTCACCTAAGTGATTAATATAGATCGGACGGCCTCGTCTTTTTTACATTTCTAAGTAAATGATTTTGGTATTTTACAGGCTACTTTAATTACGTTCCATGTGGTCATAGAACGTGAGGAATTTAATGGTGAACATGTTTGGTATCTACTAAATCATCATCTTCGCATGTAGTTAGGTCCAAAAGAATCTCTACCAGTTTTTTTTAGAGCTACTTACCACTTTTGGTCCTGAACCCAAGCAATTTGCCATGTTTTGAGCCATGGCATAATTGGATCAGCATCAGCAAGGACCATGGCACAGGAGAGGCCACAGCTACCACAGCAAGGCACAGGAGGGTGGGGAGTAGCAACCACAGCAAGGATGGCAATGGCAACCATGGTTTAGCAAGGCAGCAATGGTTGGCACACACATCACAAGTTATGTATACAGATGTGGGAAAGTGGGGCTTGCGTGTGTATATCTAGCGGTGGACAAACCGACGGCGGCGATCGCGCTCATAAATGGCATTGCCAGCTTAGGGTTAGGGCTTGTATCTGGCAGTCTGGAGAAATTTAACTACATGACAAACTAGTTTGGAATATTATTTTGTTGTATAAAGTTTTAAAAAGTTTTCTAATGTTTTTTTAATAGTTAATAGTGTATTTATAGTGTCTTATATGGTTTTAAATGAAAACATTACTTTGTTTCTTCATCAAATATGTAGAATGTTTTGGATTTTTTCAAAAAATAAACATAGTTAATCATAAAACTCAAAATATATTTTTCCATGAATAGTCCTATAATTTTTGTGATTTGATTTAAGTATATAGTGTTTACATGTCTCTAAATATTTCATTAAATCTTTCAGCATCTTAAATGGTCAATATACTTTCATCCTAAATATTCATATCACCAAGTGGCCAACTTTTAAAGCATGTTCAAATTATATACCATATACAACATAGATAAATACACCAATTTACATTTAACACACACATCAATGGATTCACTGTATCAAGTTCGGTATCCTACAGCAATAACAGAGCCACCAAGCACCAGCACAACTAAGCAATGGCAGTAGAACCAAATAGTGGGCCATCCAACTTGGCATGCAATTGCCCGGACCTTTTGCAAAATCTTTTATCTATGCTCTTGTTCATCACTCCATGCAAGGTCTCGCTCTAAAGATCCATCAAAAGTCCCACTCTTCTGTCGAGTGCAAACCTACGAGCCTTAGAGAAGCCATTGGAGTGAAGCCCTGTCGATGGCAAACCAATGAGAACATCTCCTGACACAATTTTACTGCCGTCGGTCAATGCGTCCTTGTTCAAGCTGCCAACGGCACAGCCACTCATCTCATACAGCTGGATACAAGTCCGCATTTTCCACCACCTTCAATTTACCTTTTAGAAACAAAAAAAGAGAAAACAACGGTGATCAGTAACTATCTCCATAGCCTTCCTCCACAAAGCTTGCAGCCACCTTGATTACAGCCTTTGAGAATACCTCTGATTGCCTAGGCAAAAACAAGTGGAGACACATATATCAATTGGGTAGTCAAATAAAATTCAGTAGAAACAATGAGACAATCCACAAGAGCTTGCGCCACAAAGATTTCTCCATGGGATTGGGAGTGTAAACAAGAAATTTAATCCAAAGCGATTCTTGGACTGATTGCCGCTGACGGCAGCTCTACCACATAAATGCTCCTTCATTGCCCGAGTCACAGATACGGCCACGATGTTGCAATGCTAGTATGCTCGTTCATACGATCACAAACCACCAGGTATTCTTCGTTGCTTCTCTTCTGTTGGAGCATCAAGGCCTGGGTTTCCCAATTCTTTCCTTCCAATTGGCCAGCGATCGCTCCATCGGCACTGTAGCATTGGAGCGCTGTGCACGGTGGAGCTGAGGGAGATTGCTGGCATTCCTGCGTGTTGGTTTCGTCTTGGCACCACCCGATCTGTGCTAAATTTCGTTGTGTGTGAGGCAGACTATGGCAGCAGCAAATTGTCGGATTGCTGATACTGAGTAGGGGATTGCAAATGTAGCATGGCTGGCGAATGATCTCATTTCTCTGGCGTTCTTGGGACGCAATGTGACCAACTATGGGGGTAAAGGGCAAGTTCATGACATATTATCATGCAAATCACCAAAGATGGTGGAGAGCTTAAGTAAGTTTTGATAATCCTCCTTCATCAAATGCTAAAAATTGCCCTGCTAATGCTGGGTGGCTGGCAAATTTCATGTCATTTTCTAGAGGTTTAAGTGATCTAATTATATGATAAATTAGGACCACAATTTTTGTGAAATGGATTGACTATGTATTTTAAAGCAATATGAGCCTTTATTATTTAAATTATCAACATTAACACCTATTAAAGTCAAAGCGCTATTAAAATTTCTTATGTTAATTTTAAAGTTCGAGTCTATAATTTTCATTAGAAATCATATGAGCTAAAGGTGAAAGTTAGGGAAGGCAAACCTTTTTCACATTGAGTTTGATTCATTTTCAAAATGTAATAAACCACAATACATCATTATAAATGACATATTTTCAATATTAAATAAATGTATTATATATGCAATTTTATTTGTTTCATGCATTTTCAAGGTCTATATTTGTATGCGCTTCATTAGCATATTCTATATTTGTATTAGTATCCTCAAGGTTTGAAGTAATTTTTGCATGTTCAAGGTCTAAATTAGTTTCTTCATTAGCACATTCAAGGTTATTATAAGTATAAATACATATGCTAGTGTCAATAGTTAGAAGCAACTAGTGACCTGGTGATATATGCCTCTCAATACTTTGCAAAGCCAAGGCATACTTTCAAATTGCATACTTGCATAATTGCAAATTGAACATTGAGTTCAAGTTGGAGAAGTAAAAGAGTTTAGCCCAGAAGAAGTACACACATATTGTTTAGACTTGGGAATCTTTCTCCCTCACTGAAGTGATACAAAATTGTGTCATAGCAGGTCCTCTTGAGAAAATATGGTGTTGTTATTCATGGATTTAGCTAAATGTGAGGCAATTGGGAAAAGCAAGTGCAATAGCAACACACCCCAGCTCACTTAAGACTGGATATTATTTTGGCTGGAGTTACCAATTTTATTTACTGTCCCACTACCAAGCAATACCTAGTAGTTCTAACATTGATTTTAAGTTCTTATGGAGATTAACATATGCATGTGATCACCAGTTTTGTTAAGCACTCTCTTCACAGAGCCAACATATCTATATACCTAAATTCAAATGAGTTCATTAAAAAATCTATGGAGCAATACCTAAATCAAGAGCTCTATGCAATTGAAATTGAGGGAGCAAGCACCAATTTCCCAATTTGATATGCATGCACAGTCAAATTTACCTTTTCTCTCACAATACCCAAAGGGCATGCAAGTTGTGTCAGATAGCTAATTGCCCGGACAAAACTTTATCAAAATATTTTAGGAAAGACATGGTTAAAGAAATAACCTTTTGACTATTACCTTTCCATCCGACAGTTGGAAGGGTAACTGCCATTGGTTGGATCTGAGGGCATAAAAGTTTGGCAATTCCTCATTATTATAGATTAGAAAATGTTGGTGGGTTGGCAAAGTGAAGTCCTTGAAAAACTTCAAATTTGAGCCAAAAGACAAATACATTAACCAAGAGTTTTATGGGGAAAATCTTTCAAAAGAAGCCTAGCACCTCACCATGCTTAGAATGTGTTGCTATTGGCATCATATAAAGGACACATAGTTGAAGAAACATATAAAACACCCAAATTTAGTTACTAGCAAAGGCAATCCTCAATGTCCCTAAGTGGCTTCTTTTTAACCATTAGTGTTTTATATAAGAGAATTGTAGTCATCTACTCTAGTGACTATAGCTAGACAACATCAATCTCACAACCAACCAAAAGGCATATGCACAAAATCAAGAGTTGAAAGTCATCCATTACCTGTAAAACAAATGCCTTCAATTGTAGTTACTCTACCATGGCAGTATGGCTATCACTGCGAGAGCCAGCTTCTCACATGTTAAAACCTAGTGTAGAACCTAAAAATTAAATTTCCTCTATAAGAACATAAAGATCTTACCTATTCCTAGCTGGGGCGTGCTACAAAGATGAACAGAAAATTCCTATGCAGTGTATAAGAGATCCAAGCAAGCTCTTTAGTTCTATAAGCACCAGCCATGGTGCTCCATTGCTAATCTGGCCTAAGCAATAACTTTTGCGAAAAATGGGATGGATAAGACCCTAGACACAATATATATATGAGCCAAGCTCTATATACCCAAAACTGAGTTTTAGATGGAGTTCAAGAAAGAGTCCAGGATGGAGTACGAGATGGAGACTAAAATTGGGTTCGAGATTGAGAACCAAAGCTAAGACTGAAACCAAGTCTAAATTCAAATACTAATACAAATCAAGGGGTAAAAGCCTAAAGTGTTTATTCCCCAAGGGGGGGGTGGGGGATACAAACAAGTATCCAGCTTGCTACCTCACTGACACTCAAGCTTCCCAATTGGCTTTTGATATGAGCAGCGGCACAAACTTTTGGGCCTCCATCTTTGGCATGCTGCCTCTTCTTACTTCAAGGCTAAGGAGCAGTAGTAAAAAAGAGAAACATGGAGTGAGTGAAACTTTGGTGTTAAGGAGGATTTGTGGTAAAGAAAACTTCCCTGGCTGGAAGAGCAGAGAAGGAGGAGCCCGTCCTCGACGAGGTCTAGGGATCTCAG